TTTTTGTGGCTGCTGCTGTCTGCCCGCCCGTATGATTTGGTTCATCCACCGCTTTTGGACCGGCTGTGTGAGCTGCCCTGCCAGTCTGGGCGCCGTGCAGCCCGCGCCCCAGCCCCGTCGGAGGCCCCCCTAGCGCACTGAGCCGGCGCCGCCGCAGCATGCGCCCGCCATGCTGGAGAATAGTTTGCCATTTGAACTTCCTTCCTTCTCTTCCTCCATGATAAGTGACGTATCCTCACTTCATGTCGATTAAGCTGTTAAGTCTTAGCTTAATTTTAACGTAGACATACATGCTTAGTGACGTACTTAAGTGTCTCATAGTAAAGTACAGTAACGTTAAGTAAGTTGTTTTTCCTTTTCTCTCTGTGAATTGTTTGTGATTAACGATATCTCTTTAGATTTCTCTTCTCCAGGTGCTAAATTATATCACACAGGTACAGGCCAGTCCCGCAGTCAGAGGAGGGAACGGGCTTTGCTCCAGTGGGGTGTAAACGAAGTTTCAGTGTGTTTCTGTCCGCTTCCTCAGTGGTGATGTCGCCTCTTGACAGACAGATGCGTCCCTAGACGCCCCGCCCCGGGGCTCCTTACCCAAGACTCACCGCCTCTTGCGCTATAACGGACCACGCCAGCCCTGTGGTTGCAGACACTCCTGCACTTTGGGAAAATGTTAATTTTTAAACCTGCTGTTCATCACCCATGTTGTGTTCCACTATTTGCCTCGGGTCTTGTGAAACTTCAGGACGTGGAATCCTGAGGGCTACTCTTAGATTCCTACCCCTGGTCGGTCCCCTGAGGCCTGGCCCTGGGCCCAGGGAGCACACTGAGCTGCCGTGGGCTGGGGGTGCGGGCAGGAGGAGGTGGTGGGGAGAGCGCTTCGGGCTTGGCCTTGGGACCCACGTTCCCGTGGAGGCTCACGCTGCCCTCCTCCGCATCAGGCTCTGAGTCCCTGCGAGCACCCAGACCAGCACAGGGCAGCACAGGGTGGGAGCGACCGCAGGAGCCCCCAGTGGGCTGGGCGGGGGCGCCCAAGAGAGCCCATCCCGCTTCCTCCTCTTCCTAGGTCTTTTCCAAGGCTCTGCCTCCTTCCTCCCTCTCTGCTCATTTAAGACACTAGCCCTGTCCGTGTCCGGGGGATTCTGCATGTGTCTCACCGGGTACAGCGAGACTCTGACCCTGCCCCACCCCCCCACCCCTGGTCCCGGCCGCTGCCTCTGCTCGCCTCACACCTTCCTCTCCGGCGTCTCCCCGCTCCAGCTTCTAGCTCCCCCTGTTTGTCTTTCGTCCTCGTCCCGCTGCCGCGATTCCGCTCCTTCTCGCACGCCGTGTGCAGATTCTTGTGTGAGTGTGTGCATAGTCACGCTCGGGCACACGCGTGTGCAGACACAGAAGCCTCCCGAATCCTGGGTGTCCCTCTCTTCCGGCCTCATCCAAGTTTCTGAGCTGTCTTCCCCCCCCCCCCCCCCCCATCCTCTCCAGCAAGGTTTTGTCTCCAGTCCCACCTGGTCCAGCTCCAGCCACTGCAGCCTCAGAGCTCAGAGTCCCTCCTCCATCAGCTTGAGGGGCCCTGGGATTGGCCGCTCCTCCCCGACTCCCCCTCCCTGCCCACTCTGACTCCTCAGCCCAGGCCTGGGCGGCAGGCGGCACTTTCCCCGCACAGGCCCGACCCGGGCTCTTCCCGTCGGCCCCGCCCCCGCCCCACGCCCCTCTCCTGCCCGGTCCGGGCTGCCAGCCCTTCCCCTCAGCTGCCTTTTGTTCTCCGGCGTCTTCTGGCGGCTCTGTGCCGCACGCGTCCTTTTGTGCTCAGAGCAGACGGGCCCCGGGGGAGACAGTGCAGTCGACCGAGGACCAGACGTGCCACGTTAGCCGGGCGGTCACACTCACCCAGACCAACCAAACTTCGTTTATACTGCCACTTTCTTGTGTTTGGGAAATGCTAAATTTTTTTCCCGTTAAAATTCTCTCTTTGATGACACGGTGCCTCTCGCTCTTGCTGCTGACAGCAGAGTTTGACCTGCTGGAACCCGTTGTGGCCTGTATCTTTGTGTATTTTACTTAAGTAGATACGTACAGATAGACACCTGTATACATACGTATGTTACTTCGAGAGGACTCCTTGGGCTTACCCAACAGCGTTGGATAAGCTTAGCGAGGCACTAACTGTGTAGAGACCGTACTTCTGTTTAACGCGCTAGAACGATATATGGCTGCTGTCAGCACTAGTTGCAAAGCAAATTGCAAGCCGAGGGGGAGAATCCCGGGTTTCAGAAAAGCAGACGCGCACCCACGGCACACACACCCCCCGACGGAGGCGGAGCTCTCGGCCCGCTCCCCTGCCCCGGGGGAGCACGGCGGCCCCCTCCGCCGCGCGCTCTGGCTCCAGCCCGGCGCCCACCGTCTTACCGCTCGGGCTGCCGCGCTCCGCG